TAATACTTCCTGGATCATTTAATATTCTGCTTAAAGCATCCTTGATTATAGCAACTCGAGGTTTGAATTTGTTCTTCAGTTCCTTTGGCCTCTTTTCTGACTCCAGCTCCTTGCACATTTCATTGTAATATTTTCTTTGTTTCCCACACTTCCTTTTGGAACTTTCTGTTCAGCTCTTTAGTATCTTGATTTCTTCCTTCTGCTTTGGCTTCTCTGCACTCCAGTGCAATATTCAGAGTTTCTTCTGACATTCATTTTGGTCTTGTCCTCTTTCTCTGTTTTTGTAGTAACTGTTTGTACTCTTCCTGAAAGATACTCTTGATATTCCCCCAAATTCATCTGATCTTCATTCCTTAGTGTTCAAGACCTCAAACCTGTTCCTGAGATGGTTCTGAAATTCAGGTGGGATAGACTCAAGGCCATATTTTAATTCCCATGGATTCCACTTAATTTTCCTTCGCTTCAGCTTGAACTTGTATATGAGTAGTTGGTGGTCTGTTCCACAATCAGCTCCTGGCCTAGTTTTCACAGCTGATATTGAGCTTCTTCAGCGGTTCTTTTCACAGATGTAATCGATCTGATTCCTATGCATGCCATCAGGTGAAATCCATGTGTATAACCTGCATTTATGTTTCTTATAAAATGCATTTGCAATGAATAAGTCATTGATAGTGCAAAATTCAATCATTCTATCTCCAGCTTCATTTCTGTCACCAAGTTCATGTTTCTCAACTACTGATTCTTCTTCTCTGTTCCCAACTTTTGCATTCCAGTCACCCATTATTATTAATGCATCTTGATTGCATGTTCTATTGATCTTCGACTGTAAAAGTTGGTAGAAATCTATTTCCTCTTCTTTGGCTCTGGTTGTTAGTGAATATATCTGAATGACAAGTGGTATTCACTGGACTTCCTTGTATATGTATGGATATTATCCTATGACTCACAATACTGTATTTCAAGACGGATCTAGAAATGAGTTTTTTAACTATGAAAGTAACCCCATTTTTCCTCACCTTTTCATCTCTGGAGTAATATATCATATGATCACTGGACTCAAAATTCCCCATGCCAGTCCATCTCATCTCACCAATACCTAGTAAGTCAATAGTTATACGTTCCATTTCTTTCTTAACAATATCTCATTTTCCTACATTCATGGTTCTCACATTCTATGTGCCAGTCACTAGTGTCTGCTTACAACTGTTCCTCTTCCTTTGTATTTCCATTCTAGAAAGCTCCACCTCAGATGCCCTGTTAGTCTATGTGTGGTCTGTTGTACACAGGGTTTTCAGAGTCCTGTTATTTCGGAAGTAGATGGCCAGTCCTTCTTCCAAGTCTGTCTTAATCTGAATGCTCAGATTTAGAGAAGTTTCTGACAGACAAGCATTTTACATACCTACACATAAAACACCAATTCGTGTACCACTATTGACTTAAATAAATGAACAGAAAAATCATTGACAGGAAAAGGAAGTTTTTCTCAGAACAGAAAACCAACGGACAAATGTAGAAGTAATGATCAATGAGTTGCAGTTGTTGTTCCCAGACACTATCAGGTTGAGTCCGACTCATAGCGATCCTATGAACTGATCTGAACACTGCTCAATCACACTGTCCTCACAGTCTCTGACATACTCAAGCCCACTGCTATAGTCACTGTGTCAACTCACTTGGTTTAAGGCCTTTCTTTCACTGTCCCTCCATCTTTTCAAGCATCATGTCCCAGTCCAACAAATAACCTCTCCTAGCAATAGACTCAAAGCATGTGATGAATGAGTAAGAGTATGAAGAAGAATGGCATATTTCTGATCTCAAAGTACTTTTTCTGTATACTTACCAGTAAGAAAGAGAAAATAATAATTTTGCAGAAAAGAAGCCTGTCAGTCACCCTCTTAATGAGATGATCAAAGTGAACAGAATCAATAATGAAATAAAGAGAAATTATGTAATCCCCAAGCAAGGTAGGGAACAAACCACAGCCTTTATTCTCTTATACTTCCTTCTAAAACACATAATCTTAATATATTTATGAGGAATCCTCTGGCAAATACAAATTCAGAGGATTATAGGGCATTACTGGACCTGCTGATATAAAAAATATCAAAACCATAAGAGTCAAGGAAATACTAAGGGACTCCTCTAGACTGACTGAAGAAATACAGCAACCAAGGTGATGCATCATAGTAAACATTATTGGTGATACTTGATCAAGATTTCAGGACTGGATAGTGGGAATATATCAATATTACTATCTTAATTTACATGGTTATTATTCTGATTGAATTGTGCCCCTTACATCCCTCCAAAAATATTCAAGTCCTAACAGTAAATACTTGTGAAAGTGACCTTATTTTGAAATGAGGCTATTATAGATGTCTTCAGGGTGGACTTTAATATTTTCATGACTGGTGTCTTTAATGGAAGAGGAAAAGAGGCGGGGAGAGATAGAGATGAAATAGCCATGTAAAACCACATGTACACACCAAGGCAGGCCTGGACTATGAGGAGCTGGAAGAAACAAGGAAAGCTCTCTCCTACAAGCTTTTAGAGAAAACATGGCTTTGGCAACACACTGAATTTGGGCTCTGAGAGAACACACTTCAATTGTTTTAAGCCACTTAATTTGTAGTAATTCTGTTACAACAGCTTTAGAAAATTAATACAGTTGTACAGTGGTTACACAGGGGAATTCACTGTTTGAAGGAAACACACATTAAACTATTCAGAGAGGATGAGCCACCATGTTAGTAATTTCTTTTTAAATGGAGCTGAAATTTAAAATGTAATTTTACTAATCCTAAAAATGTTCTGTAATACTTAAAGTGATTTTTAAAAAGGCATCCTGCAAGAACCTATATGTATAGCTGGAAGCTCTGGTGGTGAAAAGTCCATAGGGATTCGCTAAACCAACTTTAATTCACCCGCTGCTCCTAAGAAGAACGACAGGCAATCTCCTCTTTGACAACTTCTACAAGCTCAGAAACATGCTGGAGGAGCAGCCATTGGTGATTCCAATTCTATGACAATGAGATTATGATGATGAGGGATGTATAAATATTCACACAAATTTAAATAACATAAACTATTACAAGAAACTACTGTGCTGGGACCTTACATTTAAAGGGTATTTTTTAACTTAAAATGCATTCCTACAATAATGCCATACTTCCATAATAGCAATAACATAAGACAACTTATATTTCTGTTTACATTTAATCCTACAAGAAAATTGTTCATATAAAGAACTCCCTCAGCAAAAGACTAAACAGTATAAGGAAGCAAATAACCATCACTCTTTTGTATGCTCCCCTACCCCCATTGTATAGTCAACTTATTTTCTTGCAATAAAACATCCATAGGACTGTGGACACCAAAAATTACATACCCTGATTTAGGTGTGTGGCCTCCAGGATCTGAACACCATTCACAGAGCACTGAGACCCACTAAGGGGAATCAGAGTCACTGTCCCCCCAACATTCTCAAAGATGCAGTGATCACTCTCCAAATCAAGGCCATGAAGAACTAAGTTAGAATAAAAAAATATTAATCATAATAGCAGCCCTTGAATGTTAACACAAAGGGTCTGGACATCATCTACATAAGGAAATTAGTTATAAGATACTTATTTTGTCTTCAAAGAGTTTGTCTTCATATAGTTCTGAGGAGTTGTTTTCACTGATAACCACAGATTTGATTTTTTTTTTTTTTACATTTATTCCTTCTGTCACTCCAGAGGCTACAGGGAAACATTCAGTGGCAAGATTCATCTTAACTCAAGGGTTTATGAGGTGCTCTATACTTATACATACAATGTTCGCAGAACAGAACCAAAGGTCAGGTTTCAATGGCCCAGATCTTGGAAACCAAGGAAGCTTCTACAACTGTATGAGATGTACACTGTGTCAGCCTCCACCAATTTGTGGAGACTCTGACTTCCAAAACCTTCTCAGAGAATTTCTGCTTGCTTATCAGGTAGATCACCCTGGGTATCCGTGCTTGGTAAGTAAATCTTTCAAGTAAATTTACACTATTTTCAGCACAGTTCTTAGCCAGTTTCTTAGGAGGACAGATCAAACAGTTCCTACTATCTCCAAAGAATTGCCCTTTGAACTTCCTTGCTTGATGAAGGTGTGTATTGTTACAGTGCATCATCATTTACCTACCACAAAGCACATGATTCATTGATTATGTAGAGGCCTCCACTCAAAAACATTAAAACCTGAGGGCTTCTTTCAAGTCTTTAAGCCTCACAGAACATAGTGAATACAAACAGGAATATGCTTGGGTTGGCGTGACTACTGACTTATGTTTGGCAAGGAAGCAGGGTGGTAGCCAGGGACTCTTAAAACATTTTGAGAGAATCTAATGCCTCCCAGTGACATCTCCCACCATGCCATATGCACACACTGACCACCAACAGGGTCCTCCAAGGTGACTGTAAGCAAAACCTCATTCAATTCAGGCTGAGTCACTCGTTATCTATATAACTGAAAAGATTTAAGGAGAAAAGCTTCCACCAGTGCCCTCATCTGTGCCTATGCTATGTTTCCTCATGTCCTGTTGTCATCATCTGCCATGTGTCTATTTCAATTCTATTAAGAAGGGCTTCTACCCCTTGCCTGTCTCTGTTAACATAGTTCCATCAATCATTCTCCTACTGTGACAAATGTACTGAGATTTCACTAACTGTACCCTGGAAAGGGGTGTCAGGGAGTAAAATATATGTTGGATGGAGAGAGGGGAGGATTCACAGTTCCATTTTTTGTCACTAAACCAATTGTTTCATATTAATTTATCAGAGTAGTGTTCAAACTTATAGAAACTAATACAATGATCAATATATCTGAATGCTTTTTCTTTTTTATAGTTAACTTCTGTATTGTTCAGTCAAAAGAAAACTTTTCATTTAATATGACTTAAAAATCACTGGGAAGAAATGACAAAGATTCTCACCAATATCTTGTTCTGTTGAAGCATCTTCTCTACCAACATATGTCTTGCCCTCCTGGGAAGGAAAGTCAAGTAAATTTATTAGTTTAAACAGAAAAAAATGGCTTGTTTTACCATTTTTCATGTAAGTCCAAGAACGACTGGGTATGCAATATCCAGGACAGGACAAGAGCCTAGATGTACTCCTAGTTCACTGATGCTGTGTACCAACACCCTGTGTAGTCTGCAAAATGAGAGCAGAACTCCCAATACTGTCAGCTCAAAAATGAGTACTACTGTGGCATGCATCATTAATCTGCTCATGATAAGGCCTCTCTAGTATTCCTCTATCTTTCTGGTGAGTTTTTTTTCTCTCCAGAGGCGAGGAGATTCTTTATACTTAAAGTCATCATTTATGGCAATCCAGAAGATGCAAAGGTGGTACCATTCTCAGTGGAAGTTAGAGACTAACTCTGCATACTAATTAGAGGGAGGATACAGAACTCAGGTCAGAGGCAACAACTGTTACTGATGTGGAATTCTATCTTGATATTAATCGCCTTTCAGCACCAAGTCCCAGAATGTAGGCAGAAGGCCTAACTTGATAGTTAACACTAAGGTGCATGACACTGGATACAGCAAATCCCAGCTACAGATGAATTAAACTGATCTTTTTCTGTCTGACCAGTTTCTCCCTGCCTCCCTCTTGCTGACTCCATATAACAGAGGCAACAGTCAAATAATTTAGATTCAAAACTATATAAATGTGGACATTTTTGAAAACACAGATTAACTGTTGAAAATTTAATAAACTGTCAAAACTCTTCAAAGGGCTTAAGGAATTGTTAGATACTATTTAATGCAATAGTTATGTTCCTGGTTATAGAGTCTTACAATAAGCTTTGCTAACATCTTAAGAAAAAACAGAATTAGAAAATTAGAATGCTCCACTTGAGCAGCTTTTACCTTCAAGTGATATAAAATTATTCCAGTGCTCAGAAGGTCATCATCAATGCCAATCAAATGGGGCAGTTCAGAATCCAAAACAACGCCAATGCCTTCTTTCCTAAGGGCTAGAGTTTGTTCCTGAAATAAAGAAGGAAAAACCTAGTTACTTTGGGGACAGTTATTTCCACATTAAATGTTTGTTGTTGTTGTTATGTGTCATCAAGTCACCTGCGACTCATAGTGACCCTATGTCCAACAGCCCTAAAACCTGCTCTATAGTGTGCTAATCTTATTGTCTCTGACACATTATATTCTTTAAGGTTTCAAAATGAGTAAGATTTTAATTTTTTTTATCCTGTACTAACCAATATACTGAAGAGCAATGGTGTCTCTCTGGAGACTAAGGTGCGTTTGATACAGGCCATGGTCTTCGCAATCACTTGTTATGCATCAGAGAGTTGGACAATGACCAAGGAGGATAGAAGGAGAATTGATGCCTTTGAGCTGTGCTGCTGGAGAAGAGTATTGAGAATACCATGGACTGCTAGGAAAACAAACAGATTTGTCCTGGAAAGGGTTAAACCGGGTGGCTCCTTGGAGGCAAGGATTCTGAGGCTCCGTCTAACATACTTTGGACATGCTGTAAGGAGAGACCGGTCCTTGGAGAGGGACATCATGCTTGGGAGGGTGGAGGGACAGCGCAGGAGAGGAAGGCCCTCTATGAGGTGGATTGATTCAGTGACCGGGATAATTGGGATGGGAGTGTCAGAGACAGTGTGATTAGCACAGGACAGAGCGGAGTTTAGGGCTGTTGTACATAGGGTCGCTATGAGTCGCAAGTGACTCGACGGCACATAACAACAACAACAAACAAAACCAATATACATACTAGCTACTAGTATTTCCCTTGGCTCTGTGTTTATGTTCAGCTACCAACCATTTATTTATCAGAACCTTTTTTATCTTGTACTAATCAATATACATACTAACTGTTAGTATCTCCCTTGGCTCTGTGTTTATGTTCAGCTACCAACCATTTATTTATCAGAACCTCTTTATAGAGAAAAGCAATTACAAAGAGATTTTTGTATCTCTACTTCTCTAATCCGTCTCTTTCTGTCTCCTCTGGAATTCACTTCAGTGAGACTTTCAAAGTCTTAGGATTCTATCCACACTCAACTCACTGACTCCACATCCTATTCCTCAGATTTCACCTGCTACCTATATGCTGACCAAATTTAAATCTCCAGGGTAGGTATCTCCCTTAAATTCTACTCTTGTGTTTATACATCTATTTGCTCAGTACATCTGTGGGGATGCCAACACAATGTTCAAACATAATGTGTTCCTTGTAACTTCCCCCGCAAAACAACACTTGAGTCCTCCTGCCTCTTTTAACCTGCAACTCTCCCAGATTATTAAATACTTATCTTCCATCAATAGCCACTGTCTTTTGCTCGATTTCTTCTCTAAATCACACATACTTGCTGTTGACTCTACATTCAAAATATGCTCCAAATTTGATAACTTCTTACTGCCTGCACCACACCACCCAGACCCTTGTTATTGCAATCAGTGTCCCCAAAGGTATATTTTTGGCTTAGTAGCCAGAGGAGATATTAAGACACCACCCTAAGATACCATGTTTATTGCAGCTTTGTTCACAATAGCAAGGAGTTGGAAACAACCTAAGTGCCCATCAACAAACAAATGGATAGAGAAGCTGT